ATTCATTTTCTAGCACGGTTAGATAAAAAAAACATGTACACAAAATACATGCACGCTTGATACATACAAAAAGAAAGTGTACGACTAGAAAGAAGAAAACTGTTTACTTTCATTACAGAGAATTTGTAATAACATTCAGTTACAATTCAGCTCTACTATCGTAAAATGGCTGCTTCATGGCTTAACCAACGAGACGCTGTTGATGCTGAATATTCTCTGTTGACGGCATGTTGTGCTCTTTCCCAGGCTGCTTATGCAAAGGATACAACCGAATGTCTGGTAAGGATGTCAGTTTTTGTATGTATGTGCTTTCAGAGCTGATTTCTTTATAGTATCGGCTCAATGATGAATTAAAAGAAATTCCCCATAACATTCATACTGTATTACTTGCGGAAAACTTTGTGCGCCCCTATGTGCGAGCGTATAACATTGATCGCAATGAAGTGTACATCGCTTTCCGTGGTACAACACCCGATTTCAAGTCGTTGCGTCCAAGCTTAAACGCAGTTAGTATGCCCAATGATTTTGAAGGTAATTTTCAAGCTGGTTATCTGAAGCAAGCTGGTGAATTTAAACTCGAACCTTATTTGCATCTTCTTTCGCATAATACAAATGTTCGCCTAGTCTTCACGGGACACTCACTAGGTGGTGCTATCGCTGCCATTGTAACAGCGCTCATGGTATCTCATCTTCGAATGAATTCAGATATGAAGAAACGAGTGCGCTGCGTAACATTCGGTGCGCCACACATGTGCGATTTAAAATGCAGCCAGTATATCAACAGGTATTTCACTGAGAACTTCGATTTTTACATCAACGATTTAGACATTGTTCCTTACATTTTCTCTGCTCTGCTTGATGATATCAAGATGAATGATGGCACTGATTGGGCTTCAGCGTTTATTAAATTGCAAATGGGAAATTCACAACCTGTCTTATTGAAGTTTGCAGACGGATTTGTAAAACCGCTTTCTGTCTGGCTCAAACAAATCATTCCCAAATATCAACCTTTCGGGTCTGTCTTCAAGCAACAGAATGGTTATATTGTATTAGTATCCTGTGAACAATTACAAAAGGATTATAAGACAATGATTGAGTCGAACATATTTATCGAAACGCCCGACATCCCCTTTCAACATCACTCTATCCTTAATTATATTCGAGAAATCTACAAGCACAACATCGCAAAACATCACCCACCAAACTCTCATCATTCTCGTGTGCCCACTCTACGTGAAACTGAGTGTCTTTCTTTGTCACTACCTCCTCCCAGTGAATGGAAGTGTTATACTCCGACTGAACAGGAGCAAAGAGCAGAAAAGTTCTCATCTTCCAACGAATATTCGATATCAGTCGAGTTAATTGGAAGTAATTTCTTGTGGATACCTCTTTTTGTCACTATGAAAGTTGTATTGAGAGGTCCATCAGTTAGTCTTCTATCGAATCTACATTTTCAAGTGATGACCAAAGATTCTTCTTCTATATTTGAAAAGGATCCAAACATTGAGCAAAATTATGACAAGCAGAAAGTGACGTTTTCTCAAAGTTTTAATGTTGATTTTCTGTTCCAAATCGTCCAGCAAATACGCTGTTCGTTCAAGGACCATTTTGGTCCACTACCTATACTCGACGATTTGTTTCTTTTAGTTACTCGAATGAAAATGACATATGGCGGTCATGTATATGAGGGCGACATGAGTAATTTTAAAAGACATCGACAGGGGCGAAACGTGTATCCAGATAAAGGAGTGTATGAGGGAGAGTGGCGCGATAGCCTACCACATGGGAATGGAACATACCGAAACAAGAACGGTGCTGTGTATGTCGGAGCTTGGAAAGAGGGCAAAAAACACGGACATGGAAGTTTTACGTACGTGGATGGCCGCATTGATATTGGTACTTGGATTGACGATAAATTTATTTCTTAGATGAATTCTTCATTCTTTTGTACAGAAAAGATTCCTAAGCAAATCAAGATCTCTGCAGAACTGTTTCTTCGTGAGAATGGCCCCATGTTACAAAATTATTCGAAAA